ATTGTGGGCGTTGGGCAGATTCACTCAATTAACTTTCTACCCGGTATCAGAATATATATATATATATATATATATATATATATATATATATATATATATATATATATATATATATATATATATAGCAGTATAAACAAAGCTATTATAAAAGTAGTCACCGTAGTCATTATTTTACTATAAGGAATATATGTTTTCTTAAAGAACTTTTCATTAGATATATAGGAACCATTACAAATAACTCCATGAGTAACAAGTGAATACACCAGGGTTATATATGACAACGATCTAACAACCAACGAAATGTGTGCTATCTGCCTTACTTTCTGTTCCCCATTGGATTGTGAGCTTGGGGTAGATGCGCACAATCGATTGTTTGTTTACTCTGAGTATATATAACTTGTACCCACTTAGTACCCATAGAAAGGCTTGTAGTGTCATTTTACTTAACTTTCATTCAAGTAGGAAATATATGATTTTCTAGAGGAACATGCGAACCTTTCAAAACAGAACTTACAACTTAAATCACTTTTACATATACATTTTCCATAATGCTTTATAGCTTACTCACATCACTAAAATCTTATGAAATCACCAGCTTAATTACTGATCAACTCTTTCAAATAACTTGTATTCTCAGGAGACTATTAGATAGGCGCTCGTGCTGGGGATTCAAAAGATGGAGCATTACAACATCAAGTCGGTTTTTGTTATTTGTTTATGACTTCTATGTTTTGTGAACACACACATTGTAAACACTTGTTTTCTAAATGAAATGGTTGTTCATTACTTGCTTACCATATACATATCTCGTGATACTTGACATGACGTCCTCCACCCCCGAACGTTTCCGTCGTTCCGGTTTTTGGTGTGACATCAAGTCTCACCAATTATAGTTATGGACTTAGACATTAATCCAACACACAATACCATCCATGTCATGCCACTGGTGAGTCCTTTTCCCCTCCAACTATCTGTTAAATTGCTTCCATTTTTTTTTCCAAAATTAGCATATATATTGTTCTATTCTTTGTTTTCAATGTTATTTATTTTTTCTTATTATTTGTTAGTTATTATAGCATCCTCCAATAATATGTTAAATTGTTGTCATCCACTTAATCATATTCAATTAAGCCTTAGAAAGAACTACAAAAATAGATTTAGTAATTTGGAACTTGTTAGCTATTTACTCGTTTTGGTTCAATCATGTCACCGTGATATGTTGACTGAAACCATTGTTGGATAGAAATGCTTAAGGAAAAATATTATACACTTCAGAGTATTGTTTTCAAAGTGATATTCTGTTACGATGTTAATATATTGTAATGTGAGCTTTATGTTATTTTAGTTGTTTATGGGTTTTATGTTATTTTTATCATAGTTTTTTTTTAACTAATCCTCTTGGAAGTGTAATCTAACTAAAGGAAAACTCCAAATGTATTGTAACATAATCGAAGTTGCTGGGAAGCAAATCAAAGCCTTGCATGAAGTCTTTCAGTTTTAAATCCTCATCCTAATCCAGATTATGATTTTCGTTCAGCAACCGGTATATTTTCATTTCTTAGCTATCCTTGCATGATATAGCTATGATTTTATTTGAATTTTTGAGTTCCCATGTCACCAATTATGGTGTTGGATTTTTAGCTTTTGTTAGGTATCTTTTTTAGGCTTGTTTCTTTGAGCTTTTTTTTCATGCACATCATGGATGTTGGTGAGTGCTAACAAGATTCCAAAAACATTTACCATTTCATAATTGGATTCATAGCTTTGATATATCTAAAATTCTTTATTGAAGTTTTGAAAATGTTGATACCTTTTCGAATAGTAATGTCTTTTTCTTCGTAGGTCATCGATGAACTTATTCATGAGGATATAAAAGATGAGCTTGGGGTGGAACTTGAAGAAATTGAGGCAAAGAAACAAGAAATTTATAAGTATATTCTAAAAGTCACCCAAAGATGTAACTTACCTACTTAGTAGACTTTAACATCTCATTTTTGTAATTTGGTCTTAATACTTTGAAATCGATGTATACATTGACACTTCGAAATAGATATTTACTTTGGCACTTGATTTTTCTAGCCTAATATCATTATTTAATTTAGTAGATGGATTTTAAATTTAATTTGTACCCTGAATTTCATCTTGTAAATTCTGCTTGTATATTTAGAATAACAAAATAATGATAAAAATATCATCAGCAATGGAATCCACTAGTTTTATAAGCTTTGCTAGACAACTTATTTTGAAGCTAAATAACTCATCAGCGACGGATTAGCGATAGACTGGCGACGAAATCCGGAGGTTCTCTAAACAATTTGTGTCATCGCTAATCCGTCGTTAAATCCCTCGCTAATCTGTCGCTGACAATTAGCGACAAGGGTTTTTTTGACTGGGTAATTTAGTCGCTAATCCGTTGCTGAAGCGGATTAGCGACGAAATTTTCCGTCGGTGATACCTCATTTTCTAGTAGTGGATGACTATGTATTTTTATGTATTTAAAAGTATAACCGTATTATTATTACGTATTTATGTATGTTTTTACTTCAAGTCGTCTTCATCATTTCATCTAATTCGCACAACTTCTTCGAATATATGTAGATGATTTTTGACATACCTACATATCTTAAGCTTTTTCCATGCAATGTTTAATTTCAACCATCTAGACATACTCGTGGAAATTATACGAAATGAATAAAATGGTGAAGAAAAGTTGAAGTAAAGAATATATAAATACCTAAAAGAAAATATAGTTATACATTTAAAATAGATAAAAAAAAAACTTTAAAAAATACATGAAAATATGTAATGCATAAAAAACACATAAAAATATGTAAAATACATATAAAGACCTTAAAGATGCGTTTATACACTTAAAATACATAAAAGTACATGAACAATTATAAAAAAAATAAAAAAGTTTAAAAATTACATAAATATGTAATAAATAAAAAATAAGACCTAAAAATAAATAAAAAAATATGTAAAATACTTAAATATACATATAAATACGTAAAAAATATGTTTATAAATTTAAAATACATATATATATATATATATATATATATATATATATATATATATATATATATATATATATATATATATATATATATGGGCAAAGTGAATATACCTAACAACCTTATATAAACTTAGGTACCTAACTTCATTAAACTATGTCATTTTGCATTAAATTTCTATTGCAATCATCCAAGGTTCTTAAACTTCATTCCTAAACTTGATTTACTTCAAAAAAAATTGGAAATTCACCATTGTATTTCTCTTGTATCATTTCATTTGTAGCGGTAGGATATGAAGCCCATCAGGCGGTATTCAATAGAAAGACGTGATGTAAAAGAAAGATATTGGTGAAAGTCCAAAGATTTTGGAAGTAATAAAGTTATGGGGTTGAAGTTTAAGAACCTTAGGTCATTACAATGTAAATATGATACAAACCAATGTAGTATTATGGAGTTAGGTACCTAAGCTTATATAAGGTTGTTAGGTATATTCACTTTACCCTATATATATATATATATATATATATATATATATATATATATATATATATATATATATATATATATATATATATATATATATATATATATATATGGAAAAGTGAATATACCCTTAAGGGTATATAAGCTTAGGTACCCAAACTCATCATATTACGTCGTTTTGTATCATATATATACATTTTAATTGTCTAATGTTCTTATAATTCAACTTCTAACTTGATATCATTTAAAGATTTTTATAAATTTCACATTTATTTTCATCATACATAATTTTCATTTTCAACTATAATATATAACCTAATTGATGTTCGTCAAAAAGATGTGACGTAAGAGGTAGATAATAATGAAATTTTGAAAATCTTGAAAGTAAATCAAGTTAAGGATTGAAATTGAAGAACATTATAATAAATATATCAAACAAAATAACGTATTATGGTGAGTTTGGGTACCTAAGCTTATATACCCTTAAGGATATATATTCACTTTTCCCATATATATATATATATATATATATATATATATATATATATATATATATATATATATATATATATATATATATATATATATATAAACTTAGAAAAATTAATACGTAAAATTAGATATAAATATTTAAAATATAAAACATAACACATAAAAATTCATTAAAAAATATGTAATACATACATACGTAAAAATAGATATAGATACATAAAAATGTTTATATATTATATATAAGTTTGACGGAATCTACAGAAAATTATAATTATTTTGAAAAAATTAAAATTTTCATCTTATTACCTGAGCATGTCATGAAGGATAAAGTGAATAAATTAGTTGGTTTTTGTACTTTTACATTCAAATGGTTAGAAAATCGGAGCTTTTATATTCAAATGGTTAAAAAATTTGAACTTTTCTGTTTAAAAAATAAAATGTATGATTTTATTAAAAGTTTCCCCAAAAGTATTAAGATTTTTCTAAGTTTTCTCTATTTTAAATGAAAGAAAAATACAAATGACTCGAAAAGTTAAATATGTATTTATTTTTTGGTTTTTATTGATCAAGAGAGAAGTAAAAAAACAAGAAATTTGATAGATTTTATATGAATAAAAAACAAGAAGAATATTTGGTTTTATAAATGAAAAAATCGCCTCCTTTCATATCTGGCTGTGGTTCTTGATGCTCAAACACAAATGCGCTAAAAAGCAGTTTTTACCTCTTCGGTTGATTCCACAACCTCCAAGTCTCCAACTTCATCCTCCTTTCTCTCTCATTTTATCTTCAAACTTCAATCCCTACCAAATCCAAAAGCGTCGCCTAATAAATTAAACTAATCTAAAGCTAAAGCACAAACCTAAAATCATGTTCACTTACATATATGTATAAACGCACTACTAAGTTATCATCCATCCTCTCAAATTTCTCATCCGAAAAAAAGGTATTTGCTCATGGCATTCTCTTGTTTCTGAGAGAATCAATTGTATATCGGTAGTTGTGATCGTCATGGATCAAATGTATGGCTTCCACTCGACATCCGATTACACAATTCCACCGGAAAACAACCTGATTCTTCCATCGGAGCACCACGGATTTCATCCACCCGTCTATCTCAACTGGCCGTTTTACGGATCCGATGATTTGTTATCTGCTGCTGCCTCAGTCATAACGGATGCGGTTTCGATTGAGACTACTCCTCATCAGATTATTCTTCCGAAACGTCGAACCAATCGACAACATGATCTTCAAGCAAAAAATAACGGAGATAACGATGATGATACTTCTCGCGATAAAATCAAGCACAAAATCGCGTCTCATCCTTCCTACTCTAAGTTGCTCGATGCTTATATTGATTGCCACAAGGTTTTAAAAGCAAAATATCGCGATTTCTGAAGCGCTTTTTCCTGTTTTCTTCAACATTTTGTTCCTTTTTCGTTGCGAAATTATTATTCCAATAGAGAACTACTAAGTTCGCATCACTAAGCTTTTGTTGTGGAAGATGAACGTACGCGTAATATGAGTGATTTAACCGAGCCTAGCTAAATCCTCGATTTATCTAACATTTATAAAATTTCTTCAATGGCAACCGACATTTTCGTCTATATATGAATAAATTCTTAATAATTGTTGCCTTTTCTGTTACACAGGTAGGAGCGCCACCGGAAATCGCGTGTTTGTTGGATGATATCCGTCTCGAAAATGGCGCTCGTAAACGAAACGCAACCGCTTCCACTTGCTTAGGAGTCGATCCCGAGCTCGACGAATTCATGGTTCGTCTCTCCATTACTTCGAATTTTCCATCACTCGATTATATACACATCAAGAACACACAGAAACTTTTCGACCTAATCTGTAACTGATTGATTATGTCTTAGGAAACCTACTGCCATCTACTGGTGAAATATAAATCCGATCTCGCAAGGCCTTTTGATGAAGCTACAGTTTTCATCCGCAACATCAAAACGCAACTCCGCAATCTCTGCAAAGGTGCGTATATTCCGTCTCCTTTCTTTCGCGATTTACTCGTTCTTGTTGTTCATACGATATTGTGTTTGGCGCATGATAGCACACGTACTACACCTTAGCTCAAATAAGCATAATGCAGAATACACTTTTCTGGTCTTACTCTTACTCCTCTATAAAGTATTTGTAGTTTCGTTTTTTTTTTTATTCGATTGACTCAAACGCCCATGGAGGAAAGACTTTTTCAAGACTACAAATTTACGGCATGGTATAGTAAATTTAGGACAGAATAGTTCTATATATGTCTTCTAGCTCGTCATAACATATCAACGTTTTTTTTTCTTTTAAATGGACTTTTCCACGAATACCATGAAATATATGATGGGAAATCACAACGAAACAGTGTTTAGATTGATGTAGATATATAATCAACATGAATACAGTGATCATATAATATATTTGTTAATATATTCACACATGACATGTACTTGAAGAGATAACCTAGATAGGTGAAACCGATGGAAACAAGAGATGTTATAAACATTATTACTCGTTTAGCCAGTTTCCTGTCAGTACTGTAAACGAAGAAGCTTTTATGTATTTGTTTGTGGTTTAGTAGGTGATATGTTGCTTCAACATGTACGTGAGTTATAGGAAACATAGTCATTCATTTATAAATAAGAAACAAAGGAAGTCAAGACAAGTCAGGAATCGTGGACCATTGAACAGTAGTAATAATAACTTGTGGTTAATACTGCAAGGAATTATTGTTGCTCCTATCTTTTTTTGGCTATAAAACCAGTAATTTTCATGTCTAAAAATATTATATCGATTTCTGTAGTCTGATGCATTGCTCAGCTAAGAGTTAATTCTGCAGAACACATTGGTTTACAAATTCTTCTTACATACATACAGTAATAAGTCACAATATATATATATATATATATATATATATATATATATATATATATATATATATATATATATATATATATATATATATATATATATATATATATATTCCAATACCAATTTCAAAATACTAATTGAAATAATATAAAATGAAAAAAGAAAACTTTATAAAAACACATGACATGCTCTTATAACAAGAACTTGCTTAATTGATCCCATAGAAATCAAATGTGAATATAAACAGATAACTGTGGTATCTAGTTACTTTTATGAGCTTCGAGGTCCCATAAAGTATTTTATTTGGTGTTTTTATAGATATCGTATTGTATACACTATACATGTAGTGTGCATGGGAGGGTAAAATAGGGAAATGTAAAGTTTTAGGTAGTTTTACAGTAACGTATAAAAAAAAGATGCTTATTTAAGGTGATTTATCTAAGCCAATCAGAGAAGTACTGATCATAAATCTTCTTTAAGTACACGCACATTTGTAATGTATAGTTGTTTCACGTGATAGGATATCTAAATCTGTGAAGCAACTTTCCAAAAGAACTTATTTTAAGGTTTAATGGAATACCTGCTAAATCTTTTTTCTGTTCATCCCATGATTTTATTAATATTTTATATCCGTATACCAATATTTTATTAGATCAAGTACATTAGGTTTTAGCTTTATGGGCTTATTTTATTTTTTTAAATTAACATAGAAGTCAAGTTAGTCAGAAAGTTCTGCTGTTTGTCTACATCTCAAATAGCGAAAATGTAGAAGATCATGCTTTTTATGCTCAAAGCCAATATTATATATAAAATCATTCAGATTTAGGTCATAAAAGATTGCATATGAATTATGGTTGGTTGACAACTATTATTTTTTATGTTTGGAAGTACAATTTAACTTTTGCTAATCTTTAATTATTCGTTTGATTTTTTGGTAATTAATCTTCTTTCACTTTTATGATCCTTTTACCACATTTTGTGCATTCAGGAATATAGTCATGTGTCTAGATTGTTTTGTTATAATATGAGTTTATTCAAAAGCTTTTTAGGTTTAAACTTTTGAAAAAACTTAGTTTCTATTGTGAGAGATTTTCTCATAACAAAGAGAATTGCTCTAAAGAGGTACTAAAATCTTGTAGTTTAACTAATGGCGTGTACACTAGAATAGAACTCTTGCAATATTGGAGTTTTGTAGGTATGAGTAAGCCAGTATTTGGTATTATGGAATCAAAGAAAGAAATTGAATGGTTTATTTCATTGTTTTTGTCCTAATGAATGCAATGAAGCATTTTTTTTTTAAGAGGTGTGATTTCTGGTATTGTATTAATTTCACCTTTTGGCCTAATCATGGAATAGAATGAAAACTTAGAGTATTATATGTTTTGTATTTAGGTGATTTCTAATAACATTTGTTAAAAATATTTCGTTATTTTATATTAATTAAAACTTTATTTTTAAAATAACAAAAAAAAATTATTATAACTTATGTGAGATTTATTCAGTTTCTAGGTTGTGTTTGGTATACCATATCTATTGATAAATTAACTTATTTTTCGATTTTTTCTAAATAGTTATGTTTAATCGGTTAAAAAGTAGCTTATAAGCTACTTTATAACTATTTAGGCTACATTTTAATAGTTTTTTTTTTTTATTTTTCAAATATATTCATTAATTAATTATAAAAACATATTTTTTTTAAATATTATTTGTTTTTCATTAGTTTTACCAAATATTAATTATTACTAGCTAATTTTTTATTTAATAGTTAGTTTTTCAACTATCAGTTATCTTTTGAGTTAACAATTACTTTTTTAACTTGTATGCCTAACATAACCTTAATATGTTTATTTTTATTTTTGTAAATAAAGTCATTAATTATATATAAATTATACATTTTATCTACATACAGATATATAAAGAAGTTCCTATGAATTTTTTTCCCGTTTCTTTCCGATGAACTAAACATGATCATTGAATATAATGATTCATTTCATTGTTCTGTTTATTAAAAATGATCATGTCTGTTCAATATAATATTCTTTTGTAACTAGACATGCTTCACATACAACAACAAAAATACTTATATTTTTGTTGGTTGAGGATATTGTTCATTCTGTCTATTTCTTGCAGCGTACTTTTTTATGGATCAATATCTGAAAGAAAAAAGGTCGGTAATTTAGTTGAACAGAGTGGTGTTGTAATCCCGTTATTCATCCAGTAATTCTCTATTATAATATTTGGCTGTTAAAAAATAACACTCATATCCAACTCCCGAGTTTCTTTTATAAACTATATCAAACTCCCGAGTAAATTACGTGATAGATTAAGATGTAGACTCGAAATGGTAAAGTAAAAAAATACGTAAATAATGTATTTATAGGTTCATTCAACTAAAACACACCACTCACAGTTCCCTAATACCAACTCAGTTGTCTCTTTCGACAAGCTCAAACAACTTGTACACCCTTTTCCTCATTTTTTAATGATTGATGTCACTACAAATTTATTTTTTATTAATGCACTCGGTTCTTCTCAACATTATGTATATCGTAGAATCCGCATTTCTGCAACTCTTATCTTTTTCACAAGCGCCTTCTCACATTCGGATCCATACAAAATAATTCGTGTAATGGCCATCGTATGAATATTTCAATTCAGTTTCAAAGGGGCCTTTTTTTTTTGTCACTAAACTCCACTAGCATATGGGAAATATCTATTCCAATTAAGTTCACATGTATACTAGATGAGACAACACAACGTCTATACGTGCTAAATATTAAACCACTTGTGGATTTTCTATGATAAGCTAGTTCAATTGTTGTATCCTTGTGGTGTACAAAGTTGGTTTTTCTTGTAATATATAGTAGATGTTGAAAAGGAGTTGAGAAGGAAATAAAGGTTTAAGAAATGGAAAAGCTGTCGTTTTGGTTTTTGCCTAACAAAAAAGATACTGAGTGGCGATAATAATTGAAGTATGGGGTGTGGGAAAATTAGGAAAAGAATGTATGGATAGGGATTGGGATTGGGAAGAAAGGGTGGCAAGTGGAAATGAGATTGAAGATACGAGTAGATGTCTGGAGATTCTCAATTATTTTATTTATTTGTGTAGGGCTCACTTAGGCTATATAGGAACCTAGTAAACAGATCAGTAGGCGTGTCTGAGTGGGCAGCATGGACTTGACCCTATGTTAGGTTTAATAGCATATTTTGTCTGCTTCTAAATCTATCACAATTAGGTTATGAAATCCACATAACAACTGTCTATTAAATTCTTTCACCTCTGTCTTTTAATAAATATTCCTATAACTTTAAATTTATCCTGTAATCAGATATATATTTTAATATTTTTTAAAGATAATTTTATATACGTTCTATTTAAATATTAAAATATTATATTTATTTAATATTTTTTTTTAAATATTATATTTATAATTCATAAAATTTCTAAATATAATATTTACTTTTCATAAATTTTTTAACTATTATATATATGTTCTTTTTAAACAGCAAAATATCATATATGTCCTTGTTAAATATCAAAATATCGTATATGCATTTTTTAAACATTAAAATATCAATGATAATATCTAAAATATCATCTATTTATAATATAATAATAATCGACAACAATAAAAACTAAACAATCAAAATATTAATGATAATATCTAAAATATATTCAAACAATTTAGAAGTTTATATTTCATTATCATAGATGTAAGGATAATATGGTTAAATTTCTTAATTATTATAATAATTTTAAGATATAAAAAATGATTATAAAATATTAAAAACATTATAAAAAATGATTTGGACAAATATGATATTTTGAAGGTTTATGAAAGGTCATTGGGAAATTAAGATGGATAAATATGATTTTTTGAAGTATGTGAAGGGTATATATGAAATTCTCTATTTTTTAATATAAAATGTTTAATAAAACTTTTTTATTTATTTGATCGTTTTTTAAAATCGTTAATTTTTTTTATAAGAATCAAACAATAATTATAGATATAATTATATAAAGTATTTATTTGATATAAAATATAAAAGTATTATATTATAATTATAAAAACAAAAATAAAAATTTTAATATTAAATAATTGTTATAAATTATA